TGAATAATATATGTATTATCAATTATATTTAAACATTTTTATTATACTGTTACATAATATGTGTATATGAGTAATGTACACATATATATTTAGTATAGTGCAAGTTGCTTTTGTACTATATTTTCATTTGTTTCAAACATCCAGTGAGATTTAGATGCACTAAAAATACTAATTATGCAGTAATTTAAAAGGCTTGTAATTTGCAAATATTCATGGATGTGTTTATTATTAAATGTTAGCTAAGGCTGCTAACTAAGACAAATAAAATATCAGACACTGAAAGTTCAAAACTGTAGGGAATTTTAAAAACTTTCTTTTTAGAATTGAACGATTGGCTCGAGATGTAGCAGCTGACCTTGGAAGGGAACCATTTGCAGCTCTCTGTGTGCTGAAGGGAGGTTACAAGTTTCTTGCTGATCTTCTGGAAAAAATTAAACAGTGTTATCGCTTTAGTTCTGAAAATTCTGTTCCATTTTCTGTAGATTTTATCCGTTTACAGAGTTACAAGGTAGTTTTTGCTCTGTATTTTCTTTGCTTTTATTCTGTTTTAAGTATGTAAAGTATTAATCATGCATTATAATGTAAAGCTTTTTATGAACATTTTTTAACCTGTTTTCCAATAAACTAATGAGAAAAAGGTACCTTTCATTCTATTGACTGATTATATTAATGGAATTGTTACAGGTACAAATTTTTCTTTAAAATTTTAAAATGTCTAGATTTGGAAGAGAATTTTAGAACAACTTTTATCTTCTATAGGTCAACTTAGCTGGTGAGTTCTGAGATTGTATGAAGGTCCTGAGAAGTGATTTCTGCAATGAAACTTTACCTCCTCTAACATAATAGCTTTTTTTGTTCAGTGCTGCCCTCTATATGCAAATTTTTTTACATGCCACCAGCCTTGAAACTCCCACCTGACTTCAATTGATGTTACTACTACTTCGAGCATTGGGACAGAGGGTTCATGAGCAGGGATCTTGACTGAGGGGTTTTTGGCCATCATACATTGTAGATTGACCTTTACATGAGTTGGCTCTCTCCTCCTGTCCCTTTAGAACTGATTCATGACAAGGCGGATTTTGACAGCCTTTTTTCACCTCCTAGCTATGCCGTGCATGCCTGTACCTCTCCTGAGGAATCAGCCAGGCATTCTTCAGTATTTTTGGGCATGATTTTTCAGGTTTATCTGTGTTCCCAGTTTCATATTATCTTGACCCTTCCTTGTTGCATACTACCTCATTGGCTGATTACCTTGTCTTCCCTCCTACTCCCAATATCAGGGTACATGCTGAGCAGTTTGTTTCTCAATTTAGGGTTGATTCCAGTACGTCTCATTCATCCCGGGTTCTGATCATTATGCATTGAATTACCATCAGGTCGATAATCTCTTTCTCAACTCCCAGCAGCTGGTGTCACTTTTGCTTGTGCAGGGGCAGATCCTGAGAATCCTATACAGTAATTCCAAGACCCACCTTCATTTTACCTTACATCTATCCTACAGTACCTTTTAGCCATCTACCTCTTTTTTGAGGCTCTCCATCAATCCCCTAAGGGGTTTTTGTTGGCTCAATTATCTTCCTCGGCCCTATCCTTTTACATGTAGTTTCTTTGCTGCTGGTATCTCCTTGGTAGGGATGCTGTCTTGTCTTAGGTTTGTTTACCTTCCACATATCTTCATGACCTGAGGATAGCTCCCTTTATCCATAGGTCTGTTTTTGGGGTTATTCCTTAATCTTTGGAGTCATGCAGAATCTGTGAGGCTATGCTAAACTCGCTCTTCTTTGTTTGCTTGTTTATTTCAGATTCATTCCATCCATTGCATGTTCCTTCCTCCAGCAGTCTGTCAATTCATCATTTGTCTCTCCGTCATACTCATCGCTGCCAACAGTTCCAGTAGATTCTGGCCTAGTAAGGACACATTTGTCTTATTTTCTTCACCTGTGGCAGAAGTTCACTCCTGACCCGTGGGTGATCTGGGTTTTGTCGGACATACTTTTTCTTCAATTTCTCTCCAGTTCCAGTATCCTTCCCATTACCTCTGAAGATCATGCTACCAGTTAGAATCCAGAGGCTTTTTGGGCTTTTGTCTCAGTGTGCTATAGAGCTTGTCAGTCTTCCATCATCAGATTTTTACTCCAGTCTTCTCGTCACCCCCAAGAAGACTGGGGACTGACACCTTGTGATTGTTCTGTCCTACCTCAACTAATTTCTGGATTCTCTCTGCTTTACCATGTAATCTTTTCTTACCCTTTGGTGGGCTTTTACTCTAGGATGAGCATCTCGGAAGCTTACCTCCATATTCCCATTTCCCATCAGTCCAGATACTATCTTTGGTTTGTCCACAATTGGATTGTGTTACAGTTTTGTGCTTTACCCTTTGGGTTTGCTTCAGCACCATATTTTTTTTGTGGAGTGCTTGACTTATGCATGCTCAAGGGTTGCACTTCCACCTCTAGGTGGAGGACTGGCTTCTGTTAGCTCCTTCTGAACTGGTGTTTTCTCAACACACTCATTTGCTATTGATAGATGCAGCTCATGTGGGTTAGATTTTCAACATGCTGTTTTTATTCATTCCTCATATCTTCTCCTTTTTCCAAATTGATCTTTCCTGCCCAAAACTTAGTTGGCTCATGAGGGAACTTCTTTGTTGATGACAATTTCCCACCTTTATTCTTGGTCTGATCTAGATAGACTTCAACATCCCATTCATGCTCATCATTGTTAAATTGCCTTCTGTGGTTCCTGATCCCACCTTTTTATCCCCTGGAACCTTTTGTCATTACAATAACTTTCTCCTTCTACCCTTATAGATTGGGTTCATCAGCTTATTAGACTGGCATATTCCTCCCTGTCTCCTTCATCCCTAAATTTGTTCCAGGTGATATCACATCAGATATGGCACCTTTCCTTTCCATGGCATTTCATTTCTGTTGTCTGTTGGAGGAAATTCTTCTATTGGGCATGTTGATGACACCTCGTATGTTCATCTCCTACTACCATTCATTTGGTGGCTGTTTCTTCCTTGTCATGTTACTGCTTTTCACCTGTTACATACATCAAACATTGGTTCGGCTGTCACTTGGTAAGTTTCCTTTTTCCTATATGTTACTTTTGCTTACAGAGGCATGTCCCTTGTAAGTCTAGAATCCCACTCAGTGGTGAGTGTTGCCTATCCAGGTATGCTTCTTATCTGTCCATCCCAAAAATTCTGCACTGTACAGCTGACTGTAAGCCATACAGGGGTATATTGCCTACTGACTCAGTTGCTCCTACTCTGTGAGGCGGTTCCCAGAATTTGATGTTGTGCAGTCCTGGCTCTGCTTGTCCTACAGACTGTGGTTGCTTGGGACATCTGCTGGTGATACATGCACTCCAACCTCTGTGTAGTCGTATCCGGGGGATGATGTTGCACGGGTTACTCCCTGCACTCCACCTTTGTGGGTTTGGGCCTGAGAGGATGAGGTTTTGTGTAGTTGTATGGGATATCCCATCTAAGTTGTCTTTGAGTGGAGTCTGATCACACCAATCTCGATGTATACCCATGGCCTATAACGCATGCTGTTGAGATAGGATGTTATGCAAAAACACTAGTAGGTTTTCCTCATGGTATTTTGTTTTAACAACATGCCCATTCCAGAACGTACTAACCCATGGACTTTCATGGGTAAAGCAGATGGGGCTTACTGTCCCTTTGATTGAATAAATCAGGGGTGGTCTGCTTTTCAAAGTAGGGTTTTCATGGTCACCCATTGCACTATCTGTTGGCATTCCTCCAGACTTCACCACGTTTCTACCCCCCCACTCCTATCTTCAAGTGGAGTATGGGAGTCCTTGCCACTTTCCAGTTCCTAGCTGCTGGGGTGGTGGACCATGGAGGCAACCTCCTGAATATGCTCAATTCCATTCAGTAGAGAGTAGTGCAGTGGTGTTCTGCCAGTGTAGATGGAGTAGGTCCTCCACCTTCATCACAGTTGTATAATACAAGAGATAGAGTAGGTCTGCCACATTGCAGGTCATCCCTCTGTTTGGGATCCCTCGTCCTACCTTTGACTGGATGTCTGTTCCCACTGAGTGGTTTTAGATTCTAGCAGAATCATGTGCTAGTCATGGTTTCTCATCCTAACTCGCTAACAGGATTTTGCTTCATGTGCTTTGCCTCTGTGCGGTGGGTTCCAGGGGTTGATGTTGCATGCATTTGACTTGATTTGCCCAGCACTGTGGTTGCTTGGGGAGTTGGCCTGTCATCCATGCTCTCCAGCTTGTGTGGTCCTATCTGGAGGATGATGCTGCACGTGGTTAATGTAGTCCCTCTGGCTCTCCACCTCAGTGAGGCTCACTCCCTGAGGCTGATGTTGCACAAAGTGGAACTGGTCCAATTGTTTTTGGATTTGAAGTAAACTGCCACATTAACACATCCCTTTTTGCCATCATTTGAATTTTGGCTCCCTTGATGGCTGGTATTGGTTGTAAATTTGCATGTATGCTCTGTTTAGTCAATCAGTGTGGAATTTTTCTCTTTTCTTTTAATTCAACTTGAGGTGAAGACATTATGGACCTTTCTCCTACCAAGGGTCAGAAGATGTATGTTCGGTACCACCTGGTTTTGGACTGGAGTTGACCTACCGAGTACAGTCAGTTGCACCCTAGCCATTTTAAACCAAGAAGCACATCCATTTTAGCTTTCCCCACCATCTGGTCTGTGGCTGGGCACCCTACATTCATTCTTCTCCTGGACTATGATTCTGGAGATTTCAGTGGGATGTGAGGTTGGACCTACTCAATTTTTTTTTCTCATTTATTGGCTGTGCTCCTCCCCATTTCCATCTCTTTTTGTGACACCTACTACCACACTGAATATACCTAGTACAGAAGTGGTGTGATCTCCCATGTGTGTTCCTCTCCCAACAGGGGTTCACACTCCATGGGTGTTCTTTGGATGCTTATCTATATCTCTTGCACCAGTCTCTCAACCTTTTAATGTAGGATTCTAGCTATTATGTGAGAAGAGGTAAGGTACCGTATTGGAGGTTATTATTTTCCTACACTGAAAATATATTTCCAATTGGTACTTATCTCTCTCACACTTCCCACCCTTTCTCTTCACTACCGATGCTTCCTCTCTGCCTACCTTGAAGTGATGGTTAGGTGGAATGAAATAGAGAGAGTAACGTGCATCAGGAGGGAATGTTGCATTCTTATTGGTGGAGGGTTGTTGCATGATAACTTACATGTGAAGATGCAATGAACCATGTTGATTGTGGGGTAGGTGGAAGTTTCAAGGCTGGTAGCATGTAAAAAAAATTGTGTATAGAGGGCAGCACTGAACAAAAAAAGCTATTATGTGAGAGAAGGTATGTACCTGTCAAAATTATATTTTTAGTGTAGGAAAATAATAACTTGTGTTAGTCAAAGGATAGATTTGAAAACCTATTCTTACATTCCTATGATTTGAAAACAGATTAATTAGCTTCATTTTTTGCCAGCATAATTATTTTACACTCCAGAATTCATTTGAAAAGTATTATACATCTTAAAACTTTATCATTATTAAAACAAGTCTGTAATGGTAGTTTTGAGCTCCTCATTTGGTTTGTAATTACTGTATTCAGTGTATATAAATCCATTATAACACAAATACTGAAAAATGTTCAATATTTATTAATCACACCTACAATGCAAACCAGAAATATTTCTAGTCATGCTGCTTAATAGTGGTTCTTTAATACGTTACATGTACTCTAACTCATGGGGGAAAATTAATATTTGTGTGCTGTTTTACTATATATCTTTTTATGGTAATGATTTTAATAACTTCCATACATTTTAATAATTCTAATCTGACCATATGTTTACAAGCAGTGAATGTTAATGGGAAAACATAGGAGAGAAGACGTCTTATGAAACCACATGAGTGCAGGATTAGTGAATTTGTAAACACAAAACCATTGTCAGCATTATGTAGAGTACATAATCCTTTAGCTATGAAGAAACCATGAAACTTCAAGTATTACTTTAAGTTTTTAGAGCAAACACATTTTTCATATTTTACATCTGACTTCACAGTATTATCGAGTGTGTGTGTGTGTGTGTGTCAATACTGAAATTTTAGTTATGGAAAAGCATGTTCCTTTTATTCGATGACGAGGAACCCACTTTGAGACTAATACATTTGCTGTTATGTTAAACTTATATTAAAGTTTTTCTTCATTACCCATTCAAGCCGTCTCCAGCCATTATTATGTTCCTTTTATGCTTTTAAATACATCAGTTACTTAAATGTCTTGAGCCACTCTTTAAAAAAAATCATACAGTGGGGCTTTGGTCCTTTCATCCGTTCGGAAATATTTTGGTAAAGTTTATTATAAGAAATAGTTTTTAAGATAGCTAGGAATACCATGGAGAACCATGTTTATTTTCTTGGTGGTGAATAAAAAATATGAAAGAATTTTGATTACTTTATTCACCTAGCTATATATTTTAAGGTTTCCTTAAAACTCAGGTCAATAGGTAAGGAACTGTTATTTTCTGCTATACAATGTATGTTATTCTGTACATCATATCTGAATGAAAGTTTTTTAAATTTATGTTTTATGTATATTGTTTATAAGTCGCTACTTTTGATCTGATATTAAGTGATGATCTTGAAACAGAAGTTCGGCTCTGTAACATGAAAATACGGCATGACAACCACCATAACGTGTAGTTTAAACAATATTCATAGTGAAGAAGTATAAGGAAAGAAGAATATGTAAGTGTAGTTGCATTTGTCAGGAGATAATCTCAGAAGAACTTGATAAAAGTCTAAATAACAATTTTACAATTGAAGATTGCAAATACTATGTGTAGACATAAATCATCATACCAACAAGGATCATCCAGTAATTAATTTACAATAAACTAGTATGTACTGTTGTTTAGAATTTGGTATTTTTATGTGTAAGTTTGTAATCTATTGAATTCAACAGAAATCACACTGATTTTAAAGAGCCAATTTAGCTGGCTTTTGTTTCACAATCCATGTAACTAACATCTCCAACTAATTATGAATTATCGAGTAAATTACAGCATCATTCAACATCTTTTGCATTTATTAGTAGATTTTTTAACTGTGACTTTGATTATTCAATAAGTTTATTTACTTTCATTATCACCTAAGCTCAACAAAGCTGTTGATATATCTTTAATATTTCACTTTTTAAATATGTAGTTTTTTGTGGTTTTTCTTTTTTTGTAATTTTCTTAGCAATTTTTTAGGGAAAAACCCTTATCAAATGATGTGAAAGGAATTGATTAGTCTGAAGATGAAAGTTTTTGAAAATATGTCTGTATTATTCAGTATAAAAAAGAAATGTTCAAATTTTTAATTATTAATAATTGGGTAATTTAGTTTTTGGTTTGAGTAATTGTTGTTAATTGCTGGTAGATTTTTTAGTTTTTACCATTTTGATTGAATGTTACATTTCAGAAACTAGTAGAAATACTGCCCATAGGGCATAGTGATTAGTAACCATAGTATTCATACCTCATTGTAAGAAATTTAAAAAATAATCATTTTCTAAGAAAGTTTTGTTTTTTCTGGGAAGTACTGCATGGGAAAAGTGTTTGTATTGTGCTCTTTAGTCATACACAATTCATTACATCAAAATTATTCCATGTACAGAGGTCAAATTTTGCATAAATGTTACTGATATAAACTGTAATGTTTTTATTTACTAAAAGTGCTACCCTTTATTGAAAAAATAATAGTTTTTTTAAGAATTATATATGTATAATCAAACCCACATGTACAGTCCTAGTGAAAGTCGTTTTCTTGTTGTGAGGAGAGTACTTTTATTTAAAATTGTGTTCTGTAATAAAGAAATGGTTGTTCCACATACCGTAGTTATTTTGTTAATTGTCTGAATCTTGAATTCCCAAATGTGAATTTTTTTATGGATTTTTGTTTGTTGTACCATTCAATAGATGGCGCAATATTTCATAAGGATCAATCACCATTTCAGGCATTGAGATCATGTATTTCAGCACAATAAATGGCACCATTGTATTTATTATTTTGGGTCACATAGATAGATATAGATGGCCACACCATTGCTCCATTATATATAAATATGATTATATATATAAACATTGAATTTGAGAAAAGGTAAAGTCCTACATTTCTGTGATAACTTTTCTGAAGTACAGCTTAGTATTGTTAACTAGGTTTATCTAATATAGCACAAGTTTGTACTTCTGATACTATGACTGGTCTTGCAAGAATGGGTATTGTCTCATGCTTTGCACCAGTGTGAAATCCCATTCTCTTTCACCATGTCCAATGGCAAGGTTCCTTCTGTATAGCCAAAAATAAATGGAACTTTATAAAATATTTGAATAATTAAAGTTAAGAAAACTATCTATTCTTTAAAATAAATGAGTAGAAAAATATGAAGGTGATAAAATAAATTAGACTTTTAGAGAGAAAAAACAAGTAGTCAAGTTAACAAATTATTGCCATAGTTTTTAAAGATGATTTTTTTCTCTAAAAGTCTAATTTATCTATTCTTTAGACAAGCTTGATGTGTTAAGAATCTTTATAAAGAAGTTATTACCAGACATGATGTTGTATTTTTGCCTGATATTTGTTATTCTTCATGCAAAGAATCTGGACTTACTTTTTTATGATAAAATTTTTATTGTTTCTGTTCCTTCACTTCCATTGATATCCTTTTTTTTATTTATGACAGTGGTTGTAGCATTTTTCTTTTTTGCTTCAGAGTTTAGAACATGGTAGATCAGGTAATTTGAGCTGTTCTTGTTCATTTTACTTTGGAAACTTGTAGACTTTGTTTACATATGAAGAAAGTAATAATGCAAGCTTTTTTCCCAGGAATAGTGGTTTGCTATTTTGTCATGACTATACTCATTTCTCTTTGTTTTGAATCTAACAAAGGGTTTCTAGCAACATTTTCATGTTAACCCTAAGTGCCATCTCCTACAGGGTTATGCCAAATAATATTAGACATTCTTTTGATGCATTTTATGTACATGATGAAGGCTGTTGCACACCTTCTGACACACTTCTTTTTTTCATGTTGTTTTTAGCCATATAAAAGTTACTTTGAATCTGTAGAAGGTGATAGCCCATCTTTCCAGTTGTCCTAGTTGACTTGATTTATCAGTTTTTATCGGCATTCATTTCTCTCCCACATTGAACTCTTTTTTTTTTTTTGGTATGTGTCAGGCCTTAATCCATATTTTATCCCTGCAGTTTTTCTTGGCCTTCCTCTAGTATCGGAACTTTGATCAAGACATTTTAGCATCACACTTCACTGACAGGTTTTGGTATGGAATACCAACTACACTGTGTTGTTTTTGGCAAGTTTTTGTGGTGTCCAAAGTATTCTTCCATTTAATTTCTCTCTCTCTCTCTCTATGTTTGTGTGTGTGTATATATGACCAAACAGAGAAAGCACAAATGCTAGTGACTCTTTTTGCCTGCTTCCTTCAATTTTTTTTACAGGTGGATTTGATAAAGCATCACATGGGATCCTCCAGTCAAACTTCTTCTTTCAAAGAATTGCTTACCCATTTCAATCTCAAAAAAGAGTTGTGGACTTTGATTTGGACAAGACAGTGAATGTCTGATAATGACATTGTATGCTATGAAGAAGGCTGGGGTAAAACTAACTTCCAGGAGTGAAATCCCCCCCCCCCACACACACATACCTACACTTCAAACCTGAGACATACATTTACTGTTTGTTTGTTTTTTGTGATAGTCTTACATGAAATTGTCATGTGATTGTTGTTTTTCTCTATCATTGTAATATTCTATAATATGTAACTTTGTTGCTTTTTTCTTCAATAATTATTTTTTATCTTCTTTGACTCTAACTTCACAAAACTAAATTAGCTATTAATTCACTTCTTTATTAGTGATAATAAATTTAAACTGAATATTGTTTCAATCATTTGAAAATATTCAAGCACTTTTAATTGTAATATATGTAAATTACTTTTTTTTTTGTAATTGTTGCAGGATGATCATTCAACAGGAGACGTCAAGGTGCTGGGTGTCGATGGACTGTCTTTCCTTCAGAACAAGGTAGGTAATGGTTTTGCATTATTTTACTTTTATGTGAACAGGTATAGGTATATACAGGTATAGGTTTTTCATACATTAGTATTTAGTTAGAAGGAAATATAGTGCAAAACTGGCATTGTATATTTTGTAAAATATATCAGTTGCATCAGTACTATGGTCTCAATATATGTGGCATCAATGATTTTTCCAAATTTGAAATATTTTGTGTTAGTTGCAGATTGTTTAAACTTAATGCAAAGTAAGAAATCAGAATATATTTTTTAGTGCTCTTTTATTCTTTTTTTTAAGTTTTAGCTAGAACATTAAAGTTTCCTTCATCATTTTGCATATATTAAAAAAAGCCTTATGCATTAAAAATGTAAAATTTATTGAGAGTATTAATTTGTCTAAATGAATTTCAGTAATAGAGGCTTAGAGTTTCCAGTAATGAAGATTGAAGGATATTGCTCATTTAATTCTTGAAAATTTGTTCTATTTTAGAAATGAAATTATAATAATTATAAATTCAAATTACTGTAGAAAGCCATCTTGGGGGGGGGGGGTAAAATGCTTATTCACTGTATGGACAAGCATAGGTAAATAAACTGCAAGGAAGGGGGGCATTCAAGGTTTATTAATTAAACTGTTACTTAATAAAAACAAAGTTTTGAAATAGTAAAATAAATACAGAGAAGTGGGTTTATGAAAATGATATTACAGTATTTGTCATTATAATGACTCCATGTACATCTTTGAATATAAATTACTTTATGGACTGGTTTGGTATACACTGTACAAACCATTTTGTATTGAATTTACCCAAGTATGAATTTAAAACTTTCTCTCAGCTATCTTTATAAGTTTTATAAGATGAGGACTAGTTATACATTTTGACTTAGGTATTTTTTTCCTTGTTGTTATTGCTTTGTAATGATGCATAACATTCCAGAATGTGCTGGTAGTAGAAGATATTATTGATACTGGGAAGACAATGAAAGTTTTGTTGGAGATTTTGGAGAAGCAAAAGCCAAAATCAGTCAAGGTTGCAAGGTACAGTTGCTTTGCATTATGTTTGATTTTGATTTTCTTCAAGTAAAATTTTCAGATATTTTATTATACTGAATTATGAATTTCAATCAGCTGATGTTGAATAACAAGACCCATGTTACTAATCTACTACCTGAGAATTGTGCATCAAGTTTCTAGCCATGTGAAGTCTCATTGGCCCACCTACACTGATGACATCAACTCTCATCCAATCTGGTTGTATGTATTCTTGAGGTATACATTAGGAGAAAATTGTATAGATGTTGTTATACATATAATTACCTTATTTTTCAAATCTTTTACACTGTATGTATGTAGCTAATGAGAGCAAATTTAGCTCAAAACTGCAGATCTTATCTGGTATTGGTATGGGATTGATTATCCAATTTGACAAAAATATGCTCCATGTTACAGCTTAGGCTTCTTGCACATTAACTATTCCATTGAGGAAAGCATATGGAAATACTTCAACTGTTATTTTCTGCAACAAACATAATAACTTCATGAGTCATTGTATCTGCTCATCCTCAGTTTGAAGGTTTACATGTGTTCATAAGTCAGTGCTTTTGTGTAAAAGAAACTAATTACCATAACAGGAATTATATATAAGTGATAACTTGTTTTAATTATTTTTTGGGGTTTTGAAGGTTACAAATGAAGTTCCCTTCTCTTGAGTTGGCAACATATTATAAAAAGGATAATATTTCTTGCTTTGGACCTTGAAACTGTGTAGGTGTTTTTTGCTTCTTCTGCTTCTGGGTCAGTGTATGATTTCTGGTATTTGTCACATTTTGGACTTTGAGCTTACATACATCCTTCATTCCCCCCTCCCCCCCCCTCCCTGTTTACTACTCCTGTTTGTGGAAATGTGTTTGTCTTTTTGGTTTTAACTGACACCTCTATCTTGATATGTGTTTGGTACCAACTTGTTTTAAAAATATCATTTAACTTTCCTTAAAGTTTTTCTTTTTTTACCCCCAGCAAGTGAAAGCTTATTTTCAAGTGGAGGGCT